TGTGGTAATTTTTTTTACATCATGCTGCAGTAGAAAACAGAAAGAGAATAACCCAGCCTGTAATATTAGTGAAGTGAAAAGGTGGCAGTCTATTATATTTCTCTTATGATAAGTATATGTGTATTCACCTCTGATCTTTCTGCATGCATAGTTATTTACAATGAGAGTGTATTTATGCTGCTGGCCTGCCTACAGAAGCCTCTGTTTTTAAGATGTGATTCTTGTGTGAGCACATGCTGTAAACTCAGGATTTCCGTATTGACATCTATTGCATTATAAAAATCAGGCACACGCAATACGGACGTATTTTGATGGCAGATGGTATGGGGACAGGCCCCTCTGAGTGACAATTCTTTCCCTATTAAAGTGACAGATATGAAATCATGAAGGATTCATCATATCATCATGAAGGATTAAGGAAATCCCATTTATGTTGCGGGACTCTGAACACTTGAAGCTTTATTCAGGCTCTTGCAAGTAGTGCAGTGCATCTCTTCTGTAGCCTACCTAATGTCCAGGTGGCTTTTCCATTACAGAGGGTATCACAAAAATTAGGTGTTTTAGAGAGCAGTGTGTAGCTGAGAAGGTGAATGGTAGGCAAGGGCTGAAGTTTGTCTGGAGTCTGTGTATGCAGGAGTTGCTCCCCATCAAGGAGAATGAATCACACTAGATTTATTATTATTATTTTAATATTGGCTATTTTACATGTCTTTTTAAGAAGCTGCCTGGTGACGTTAGTGGGCTGCTCTGAATTATAGGTTTGTAGTCATGCTGTAATCAGTGTGTGGAATCCCTTCTCCTCAGTAAAATGGTTTGTACCTGGAGGACTGTGATCAGGATGTGATGTTTTGAGGTTGGTTGGATTTTTTTGTGTGTCAACTAATAAAATACTGATTGCAAAATAAAATTAGTTATTAATATTATCATATTCTGTATCTGTGTTTAATATACAGGTAAGTGCAGGAACATGGAGATCCAGGGAGATGGCAAGCTTAGCCAGAATTCATCTTTTAGGCTTTTTATAAAACTTCTTGCACAGAATGAATGCAGTAGCTGACAGACCTAAAATTGAGGTGCACAAGCTTGCTGCCTGCTAAAGACAGTGAGTCAGATACCAAGTGAATAGAGAGACCAAGCAGAAGACTTCTGTGCTGCAGCAGACTGTGCTAAGGGTAGAGAGTCTCCTGCTTGAATTGCTGATCTGATTGGTTTGGAGGCAGGAGAAAGTAAAGAGCATCTCGGATGTTGGGCTGTTTTTTTCTGGGTTGGAAGTTTTAGTGGACTCTGAGTGACCAAGATCTGTGCGACACATGGAGGAAGTTCCTTTTCCTTTCTAAATCTGGGGTCAGAAGAGACTTTGCTGTGTCCTTTAGTTTCTTCAAATCATTTATCTGTCTTGTAGGTTTGCACCCTCCTGTGCGTTGAAATGGAGCACGGTCTGCTCTGTGGTCTTCCAAGATCGTTCCGAAATCTTTCAAATGTCTTAAAAGTCTGTGCTGGAAATGCCAGTAATGCCATAAGTCCAGCTGATTGGTGGTGGTGTTTTTCCTTTACTGTTCAGTATGAGTTGTTAAGCTTATGTAATTATACATCTCCAGGGTAAACGCAGAACCTGATGGATGGCAAAAGCTACTGCAACTTCATGGACAAGCTGTCCATCCGTGGTGACACCCAGCGCGTGCCGCTGACCAGGCCTTTCTGTGCAGACCCCACGGTTACATTTCACGTGTACCCAGAAACAGCAAACCAGGTCACTTGCTCTGAGGATTTGTCATTCGTTCCCTTCGTGCCGGAGCATCTCATCCCAGAAAGCTTCTACAGCGAGTCCTGCACATTCCCATATCAACTGCCCTGTTCCAGCTACAGCAGAAGTGAGTACTCCTACGGGCCAGCGTTCATCAGGAAGAGGAATGAACGGGAAAGGCAGAGGGTTAAATGTGTCAATGAAGGATATGCCAAACTGAGGCACCACCTCCCCGAGGAATACTTGGAGAAGCGGCTCAGTAAAGTAGAGACTCTCCGAGCTGCCATAAGATACATCAGCCACCTACAGTCTGTTCTGTACAGTGAATCTGCGGGGCCAGAAAAAAGGATCGTGGAACCAAGCCAAGCACCCAAAGCAACTAACCAGTTTTTGAAGACTATCTAAGCTCTTCCAAACCAAGCAGAAATTAACCTGCCCAGGAACCTAATGATCACTGTAGCAGTGGCATGCATATTCTTGGCATGTTTCAAGAGCAGATCATTTCTATAATTCTTACCAAACCAAAATGCCCACCTATACCAGGAAAGTAACTATATACTATCACACTCTACATATTTTTAAATAAAATACAAATTTTCCACTGGTGAGACTGAGCTTTTGTTTTCAGTGACATTAGTGGCTTGCTTCTGCATGCAGTTTCTTAAAGATTTTTGTTCTAGCTGCTGCTGTCTTTCTTGCAAAACAAGGAGGACTTTAGAAGACCTTAGGACTGCTGTTAGAAGCAAACAGAAGGGATAAATTGTTGTTGGTGGGAGGAGGAGAGCAGTTCTCCCAAGCACAGTTACAAGCTTGGAAAGAGCACAATATCTTGCAAGTGCAATTTTAACCTTTCCTTTTTAACTAGTACTTTTATTCATTAAAAGCTATTGCCATTGCCTCATCCTCGTGTCTACTGAAAACTGGGTTCTTCAGCTCTTGAGTGCCCTTGAGAGCGGCTAGAACTGCTCACAAAATTTGCAGGACAAGGAGGGTGGGCAAGAGCAGATCTTGAAACCTGCATCCTGCAGTGTGAATTCTTCAGCACTTGCGCTGATAACAGCTGAGCTCTGGGGTGGATCTGTCCCCTTGTGCTACCTGCTGGCAGCTTCGGCCAAGTCGTCTAGAGCAGGTTAATGTGAAAATGATGAGGAATCTGGCTCACGACTTGCAAAGCATTCTGAACGTTTGCTACATGTAAAGACTCTTCTGTTGCTATTAAACAATAATGCAGCTAATGGCATGAGAGTGGCTAATGTGTGGGCGCAGCAGAAGGCAGGGGAGATGGTGACAGACGTTGCTGCTTTAGCCTGGTCCCTAAATGCAGCCAGTCATCTCCACTGTTCTCTCCTTGAATGGAAGGGAATGGGAATATGTCTACCAGATGCAATTAATCCCCTCATGCATTAGCCTTTGTTAAGGAGGAAAGGGGGACTGGAGATCACAGCAGAGATTAACAGGAAAATTCCCCCATGATATTCTGGCATTTTTTTGATGCTCACTTTGAAGAAAAAAGGGAAGAATTCCTAGGGGATACTGTGCTTGTGGTTTTTTTTTTTTTTTTTTTTTTTTTTTTTTTCTCGGTTATTATGAAAAGGGAAAACTTATCAAGTGATTTGACCCCAGCTTGTCTCAGCTTCCACCTTTCTGTCCCTGTGTTAGGCCAATATGTTTGTAGCAACCTGCGCTTGCTTGTTTTAGCTGAATCAGAGTTGCGTATAATGTTGTTTTGGCCATACAGAAAAACCTAGTGGACACTGTGCCCTCCTCTCATGATGTTCCCTGCCCGGCAGCCTTTACCGGGTCTCTGGATCAGTAGAGTTGATGGTGGTGGTGGCAGGGCCTCGAAGCGGTGTAGGTTGGTGGTAGACAAGCGGTCACCTCCGGGCTCGTGTCCCGCTCGCCCTCCGTGGTTGGGCCGGACGCGTCAGTTCCTGTTGGCGCCGGCTGTGGCAGCCTCCTTAGTAACGAGCGGGCTTCCCGCGTCAGGCGCGCAGAAGGACGAGGCTGCTGCAGCTGGACCGCATCCAAGGTGGCCACGTCCAGCTTTATCCATAGCCGGTAAGTTCAAAATCCCGCTGCGCTCTGTACTGCTCGGAGCTATCCAGAAATTCTCCTGCAGTGTCGCGGATTGCCTTTGCCCCCGTGCTGTTTTGTATGTAGCTAAGGGAGCCTGGCTCTGGAGAAGCTGTGGCAATCTTACAAGGCGTTTCAAATGAACTGACATGTGCATTTCTCTGGAAACTATTACTAATGCCAGCTTGTTTTGTTTAATAAGGGTTTAAGTAGAAGAGTTGCATAATTTCAAAATAAGTGAGTGTATTTAAATGAGGAAGTCATTACAAGATGCATTTTACAGCAGCTTATCTACTCTTGCTGGAATGGATACATGGTTTTATTTTTGTAATATATAGTAAGTGTTGGTAGAAACACAGAAATTATTCTAAGTTCATAACTTTTTGTTATCTAAAGGACTAATTTGAGAAAATAATATTCAAAACTAAACATTTTCAAAAGTGCCTGATGTGAAAGTTCAAACAGTATTTTTTTAAGTCAGTTAGGCACTTGAAACTTATATCTTCTCGTGTTTCCCTTTCAGCGTTACCGTGAGCATGCAAAGCCCCTCTAAGCAGTATAAAAAACCCTGGGATGGAAACTTGTCCATTGGTTCCTTTCACATTGGTGGAGAGGCCGTCACACCACGAACCTGGTGGTGACAGGCTCCAAGTGGTTATCGCCTGCCAAATCCCAGCCACTCTTTCTTTCTCATGGCAAACCACAATCTTGCTGTTGTAACACCTGCCTTGACAGGACAGCTTGGATATGAAAATACTTCTTCTTAATATACCACTATAAATATAAGACAAGAAAACAGGCAAGCGGTATCTAGCTTTACATTGAAAAACTGTCGCATTTGCTCAGCTGTGTCATCTCTAGCTGTAGTTTTTGCTGTAGCTTGTAAAACAGGGAAGGCTTGGCTGGGACAATGTAGAAAGAAGCTTTTAAGGAGAGCGTAGGTGTAAGAAGAGAAACATGAATGTTAGAGAAGGAAGAAGTTGGAGGGAGGAGGGGACGTTGTTCTTCTGGAGATTTCACAGTGTTTCTAGTTTCTTTTTTTCACCTCACCATGCTGAGAGACTGAAAATCACTGACATTAGTGATATGGGTTCCTCCGGCCAAATTCCAGTCTGGATTCTGCTCTGTGTTCTCGACTACCAACAGGTCATGGTTTGCTTTGCAGGTAGCCGCTCTTATGGGAATGGCTTCTTCAGAAGGATTTCTGCCTGCAAGCCGCAGGTATTGCAGCGTGATGACAGCTCTGGACAACGTGCTGTGCCCCCGTGTCGTGGCGGCCGCCAGCTCCTGCTGCAGGAACGCCGTGGCCGTGCATCCGGCCTGCCACCCCATGGCCCTCAGCCCCTGCAGGTAAAATCAAGTTCTTGTTTGAATCTGTGATTGGTTCCTTTTAATGATATCTAATAGGATAAAACAGACTGGAAAGTGTCAAGTTAATAAAAACCTGACCACCATTTCATGCCTCTTCCCTAGCAGTTCTCTACATGGTATTAGCTAAAATGATTTGCTACCCTGGAGATTATGAAAAGCAAAGCTTGGAGTAAGCCTACTATCAAAGAAACATGTCCCTATATTGGTTAGATAAATAAAAGCATCTTGCATTCACAGCCATCCTCTGTGAAATGGTTCCAAAGCTGTGTGCCAGGGATTTTTGTTTTGTTTTGAACCTGAACCTGTCATCAAGCAGCATCTTTATTTTCACTTTTCTGCTTTTCCAATGTTCCCTGAACAAAATGCCCTGTGATAAGTCCTCAGCACTCGGGTGCATCTAAGCAGCGCTCTGTGCTGCAGACAGACCCTTGCTCCAGGGCCCCTTCAGCTCGCCATTGAAATTGCGAAGCAGCGAGCGTGGGATCTGCTCACCCAGGACTGCAGCATCTCCCCAGCACGCTTCCTCTAGACTTCCTCTAGCCCATGAGGCCTGCAGGAACAGGCACTGGTGGCTTTATCTCAAGAGCAAGGAATTCCCCCTGCACAGTTAATTTTTCTCTTTCTTTCTGCTCGCTGTGGCCTGCAGGAATGCTGCAAAGTCAGGCGCGATGATCCACTTCTCAAAGGTCGTAGCATTTCTTCGCTTGACATATAGCAGTTATTTTCCCTCCGTTTTTCTCTCTGACCTGTTTTCTTTAATTCGAGGTGCTGGTGGATTAGCTGCTGCCTCCCATCGCGTGTCGCAGCGTGGAAGAGGCCGCGCGGTTTGGCGAGCTCGGCTGCCTTAGCCAGGGGTGGCCCCGTTCTGGTGCGAGGGGAGCACACCGGGTTCTATTACCGCGGTACAGTTAAAGAAGAGCTGGAGGTAGGTAGAGGTGGGTGACTGCTGCTCTGCATGGCCATGTTGGTATTTGCAATGCAGTGTGTGCTGTGCGAGGCCGATCGCCCCAGCAGAGGATACGGGTGGGTCACTCTGTGAGTTCCATCAGAAGAGCTGATAAAACCCAGTGTGTCTGTGGGGTCCCCCTTGTTAACACTCTTTGTATCTCTTAGCACTAGAAAAGACCCAGTCTGGTGGCATAGGGGCGACCAGGAGCTCCTTACACTTTGCGTGGTGTTCAGCTACTGCATGAACTGGAGGAGAAATGGCAAGGGCAGCCTCTGTTCATGATCGTGTTCGTTCAGTGCATTACAACCCCCCTAAAACCTCTCCTAGTGTGCCAGATAGATTGCCAGGTGTCCTCGCTCGTGCCTAACGGCACAGGGCGAGCCTGGCACCGCTGCACAGCCCCTGGCAGCAGTATGTTGGTGCTCAGCAGCGCCCTGCCCTGCTCAGCCTCCCTGCCCAACTCCGTGTCTGGAGGCTGGCGGCAGGGCTTGTGCTGGGGTCTCTGCAGGGAAAAGCAGCACGGATCTGTGCTGGAGGAGCTGCTGAATCACCCTCCTCCCAGAGGCACCAAGGGTGCTGCAGTTCTGCTTTGGGGACCTCGCAGAGGATCTGGCACACTCTCACTATGCTGGCGTCTGGTGGCTGTTGTCCTCCCCATTGGGTTTCTTGCCCATTGCGTTACTCTAAATCAAAGACAGCTTTAAGCACTGTGCGCACTGCTGCTCCCCTCCACCTCCCCTCAGCTCAGCGAGGAGACCCCTGCCTTTCCCTCGAGCCGATTGCCTCTTCTCCTTCTCCCCCCAGCCACCCCGAGGCTGATTGCCTCTTCAGTTTGGGGGAGTTTGCCGCTCGCCCCTCTGGCACGTATCCCGTGAGTGCCTGGCACTGCTGTGCCCCATGGAGACACCGGGGTTGCGGCATCTCCACCCGCTGGCACGGGGCGCTCGGCCGGATCCGGCCAGTGCTCGCGGGTTGTGGACATGGCACCGGCTAGTGTTGTGTGTAGAGCCCTAACAACAGTGCAGGGAAAGTGTGTGTGTGTGTTGTGTATACACCTCCGGCCGAGTCGGCTGCGCCCCACGGCACTGTGTCTCTCCAGAGATGTCAGTGATAGCTTTAATTCATTAGTTTGTTAGCACTTCAAACTAACCGGAAGAAAGGCCTATTCTTTCTCGAGAACAGGGCCGTGCTGCATTCCATGTTGATGGAAAGCCTCTTGGCAGGGCTCGGGCTTATTTCCTCAGAAGAGCAGTGGGTTGATGTTGTATGTAACAAGGAAGGGCATGACTAAAGCACAGGCTTGAACAGGTTTGGTGTCCCTCTCTGCGTGGCACACAGCACGATTTGCGAAATCCAGTTTGGTAGCACAGATCCTGCTTCTGGGATCTGTCAGTCTGCTTGCAACTGCGCTCCATCCGCTCTCCTGTGCGTGTCCCTGAGCTCTCGCTGGCCGCTTTGAGTCGGGGCTAATACCACATACTGTTTAGTTACTGTTTAGGCTTGCTTGGTGCTCTGCCTTGGCCTGAAAAGCCACAGCATGGTTTGCCAATGGAGTGCTTTTTCAGAGGAGCTCGTATATTTTGTTCCCGGTAACAGGGTGAAAGAGGAACGTTCCTGGTGGAGTTGGCTGAACCCGTTGTGGTGCGCGGCAGGCCTCCCGTGCGGGTGCAAAGAGCAATCGAGGATGATATTCTGGAGTACGTGCACGGCATGAAGCACTCGCTGCTTCCCGGGGATAAAGTGCTGGCCCCTTGGGAGCCGGATATGGTGCGGTTCGGCCCGGGAACTGTCCTCGTGGGCATCGAGACGCGGGATCCCCTGCGAGGTAAGGGAGCTGCTGACCTGCCTTGCTCCTTCGCTCACCGCTCCGTGGTGGGTTAAAGCTTCCCGGAGCTCACGTGCCTGGCTAATATGCACCTGCTTGTAACCTGGCTAGTTCAGCCCTAAGGGAGCTGTGACCTACCAGTGGGTCATTTCCTGTCTGCTGGGACAAGGGTGTGCCTGTTTTGTGGAGGACAGGGCATTTTTCTGAAGGAAGCTGAATGGAGCAGATCCCCTTGGAGGAAGATCATCTGTGCTAGGGTGCTGGTGCTTAACTTAGTGATACACCCCAGGGTGATTTCATCCCCCAAGCATGCGATTTCAACAGCTCCTTCAGCTTCCCATGCTGGCCAGTCAGGCTGCACTGACTTCTCAGAGCACTGGTAAAATGTTCTCTGTACATTAGTGCTAACTTTGCAGCAACAACAATCAGCATTTATGTGCTGATTTGATGAAAAAAAATGGGAAGAAAGTTGTTGCCAGGCCTGTTGTTGCCCTGACAGTGTCTGAGCTGCCACATCACCCTTGATGACCCGGTGGCGATGAGGAGCTGCAGAGCTGGCTCCTCGGCTGACCGGAGCGGCCGCGGGCAGAGCAGCTGCTCACGCTGTTGCCTTTTCTCTCGACAGCCTCAGAAGATGAGGAAATCATGGTTCAGTTCTGGAACGGCAAGGAAGTGAAGCTCCCGCTGGGTGTTGCTCTGTGGATCCCTCCTAGCCGCTGGGAGAGGATCGTAGAGATGATCCACATGCCCTTCACCAGCAGATTGAAGGCTAGAAAAAATCCTGACACCAATTCTTGCTTTTTCTCCTGCAGTCCTGTAGCAGTCCCCGTTCCTCTCTGTACCTTAGGTAGCCTCTCTAGGCACAACCTGCTCTGCTGGCTGCATCTTCACCAGCACTGTGGTGGTACGTGCTGCTCATCGGTACACGTGGGCTGCATCTGCTGCTGCCATCCCCGTACTGAGGCCTGGTGGCCTCTCCCTTCCCACTCTTTGGTCCTTCCAAAGGGGAAGCAAGGGGCAGAGCCCAGCAGCAAACCTTCTCTGCGCCTACCAGACCTGGAAGGTCCAAAGCAAGAAGCAGCAGCAGCTGCATCTTCCCCCTCCTCCAGTTCGGAGCACGTTGTGGAGTCCTTCCCGATGAGCGTGCTGTGATGCACAGGGCTGGTAACACCAACTCCAGCCTGCTGGAGAAGCCCAAGCTAAGGGATTCTGCGAGGCCAGCGTGGAAATACTGGAAAAGGAGCCAACACAAGTCCATCCTAGCAATCCAGCTACCTTAAAACACGCAAACAAACGACAATAAAAAAGCCCATAGGGAAGAGGGAGGTAACCTGTGTGCTCTGGTGCCCTCTACAGCTGGATGGTCACTTAGCCTGTAGTTACCTAGTTTAGATATTACAAATTTGCCCATCAGCCTATGCTGCAATATATTCCCTTCCATAACACTTTCCTGCATGTGAGCTCCTCTTTAAGTAACTCATCCAATGGAGAACTACCAAAGCAATGAATCATATTTAGGAGCACAGATATGCCCCTCTTGAGCCCGCTCTCCATCATCTTCCTGTGCTCTTCATGATGTTAACTTCTTCACTAGCCTTCACAGCAAGTCTATGCGGAATAAATCACTTGAAATAAACCTTTTCAGGCTTAAAGTGCCTTCTCTCTGAGAATGAGTATTTCTCAGATGCAATTGAGGTTGTATTCTTCACGTGGCTTAATGTCAGTAATTTCACCCCTCCAGGAAGGGGCTCTCGCGAGGGCAGGCTGGCGCCCGAGGCCAAGGCCGGCGCTTGCTGCGGACAGGCCCGGTGTGACCCCGGCTGACCAGCGCAGTGTTTGGAATCGTGGAGCAGCCCCCGGAGGGCAGCTCACAGCAAAGGAAATGGTAACCTCCAGCCCTCATCCACGTAAGGGAATCCCCATTAATGCTGTATTTACTTAGGTATTTCGTTTGTTTGAAAGGAAGAAATGTTCTTGTTAACTGTCCGGGGCTTAGCTAGAGAAGTACCTTCCCTCAAGTCAACTGTCTGCAAAAGCCACCCCCAAATGAAAGAGAAACCATCAAATAAAAAAGAACCCGTGTGTGAGCAGTCAGCAAAGGCTGAACCTCCCAAAAGCGGCCCAAGGCCCACTGGCATCAGCCCAGGAAAGCCCTGTGGGAACTGGGGGCTGCTGTGCAAGTGGCCCTGAAAAGAGACAGCTCTGAGCATCAGCGGCAATAAACCACCACAGCACCGCAGAAGAAAACTTACATACAATAACTCCCAGATGCAGTCTGGAAGGATGCTGGGCTCTGTTGGGGTCTATTAGTCATGGCTTCTATTTCTGAAAGATAAAAATACCTGTTTTTGGCAAAGAGTTTTTACCAAATATCTTCCTCCCTGACAAGCAGCAGGCCGGCAGGAGGTTGCTGCTTTGAAGGTAGGGGATGCAGAATAAACAAGCCCTGTCACAGCTGAGAACAAGGACCGGCACCCTATGTTTTAGCTTTAGTTACTTTCAAAAAGGTCCCTCCTGTTTTAGGAGAAAAATGAACAAAAATCAATTGGAGCATGAAAGCCAAACAAAAGCATGCACTGAAAAAAGGAAGAGAAAAGCTGGTGGAAAGAAGGGGATCATGAAGTGCTGCACAGAAACAAGGAAGCTGAACAGCACCCCTGCTCTGTGCAAGACTGCCAGCGGTTCAACCAATTGTGCATCCCAGATGATGTGTTAGCTCCTCTGTACCTTTGTTTTTTTGCCTCTGTGAGCTGACTGGAGAGGTAAAACTTTGAATTTGATAAACTGGCATGATTTTCTGCAGAAAAAGATTAATATGCTAATGGCGTGACTTAGTGATCAGAAAATATACTGAAATATGCTCTACTCTCACAGTGGTTCCCATAATTTTTAAGCAGAATCTTACAGACTTCTGGAGTGTATGTTTTCTACTTTATTGTTGAAATTATAATATATGCATATTATACACCTCTGTAACCATTCACTTCCTTCTCTTGGAGCATCTCTTGGAAATTTTTCTGATGTGTCCTGCATGTAACAGGTGCCTTACCTGTGTGCTGAAGGGCCATACCTCACCTCTTAGTAAAACCAAAAAGAAATCAGGGTGTCTTCATTCTAGTTCAAGCCTTGCAGCATGAATTGCACAACATATCCATACAGTTTTGTCTTAAAAACATCGAAGGCCATTTAACAGGAATAACAGGAGTATCTGGGAGTGACATAGCTGTCCTTTGAGATAACTGAAACAAGAGTTTTATCTTGTAACACAGGCTGCATCCCCAGGAACGCTGACACTTTTTGAAGACGTGCAACACGGTGCTTGTAGCAAATAAGCAGGGATAGGGAGTAGCTTTTCAGAAGGGCTCCCTGCTTGGCCAACATCCTCCCACTGCAATCAACAAAACAACTCCCACTAACTTTCACAGGAGCAAAGTTTGCTTACAGCCTAACAGTTTCTGGAAAAGCCTATGATAATGTATTTGTATTTCAGAAGAGTATTTTTTACTAGTACAGAAATAATGGCATTATTGATATTCTACAGAACCAATGAATGTCTTTTACAGGCAGGAGAGCAAAAGTTGGATACTGATGCTTTTTTTCAGACTGGACCTCTGAAAGATTTGTTTCCTGCCCTTGAGGATGGTTTTGCAGCATGAAGAAAACAAAGATAATAACAGGGTCAAATAATAAAGGCAAAATAACTTGCAGAAAAGAGGACAGACAGGAAAAGAAAAAGAAAAGAAGGCAACAGAGAAGCACAGTCAAGTGTATGAGTGTATGTCCAGGGAGGCTAAGTTTCAGGTAGGCTGCATGTCACTGTGTTACTCAAACAAATAAAGGCCTATGAGTTAAGCAAAGCTTTATGAATAACTAGCTTTTTAATAACTTTCCATCAACATGGAAGTGCAAAATCCTCATGCTTTATCCTAGGAGGAGTATTTTCCAGGATAACTGAGGTAGAGAGAGGTGATATGATGTGAGCCAGATTCTCAGCTGCCCTAAAATCAGTGCCAGGCCCCCGAAGCTCCCGTGCATCTGTGTGCATTCACAGTGCAGGGATTTTGCGCTCGCTGTGTTCAAGAACAGGACCCAGCCTTTCTGTCTGAGGATAATACAAAAGAAGTTTTCATCAGGCAAGATTGTTTTACTCCAGTGATTGCATCTTTAATTGGAATTACACAGTCACATAATTGGAATTAAGGCACACAATGTACAAGTACTTATAAAAATCAATGTACAAAGTGGGCTGTATATAATATTTGCATTAAGTATAAAACAAATGTATAGGAGTATAAAAACGCAGACCCGAAGTACAGAATACTGTTAAAGTGCTAAAAGAGGAAAAGATATGTATAAGTTTGCTGTATGCCCTAAAAGCCTAGAATTTTATTCCCATGATTATTGAGAAACAACAAACATCATAGAACAAAAGTTAAATCAACACTTTGTCCTGCACTGACATCCACCACGTGGGTCTGTTTCACCATGTCCTCTGAGGTTGCTGTGATAGAATAGGTGCCAGGAGAAACTTCAATGTAGATGTCTTTGGAAGCCTTCCTCATCTTTGAGGAGAGAGAGAAAGAAAAAAACAAAAACCTTTCAATTAGTTATCTTAAATTTTCCCCAAAATAATGTTTTGAATTATGGGTGGTAGAAAAATTACATTTCAATTGCTCTATGAACATATTAAGATATATATTAAGATATTTCAAAATATAGGCAGTGTGGCAATAATTTCTAATTTTAATATTGGGTAGAAGCATTTTGTAAGTTCCATATTCAATGTCTTTTATCTAATACTTTTATCAGTAGTGATAACCAGCATGTTGTAACCTGTCTCAGAAAACTGAAGCCAGTCAAAATAAACATTTTTGTACATAAACCTGGAAACCATCCACACAATGAAGTAGCTGTATTAATTTTTACAGTGATAAAAATTCCATGTTCCTCTGTTTGAATCAATTTTAGGAGCATCTAAGGCACAGTGAGTTGTTAGCCTAAGAAAAACAGGAAGATTTTCCTCGTCTTTGAGGACAGAAAGGTCTTCAAAGAGCCTGTACCAGGGCCAGGCACAACCGGCTCACTAACTGCCCACCGCTGTTCCATAGGAAACTGGTCAGGAACATAAATGAGGGGAGGCTGGAGGACAACTAGATTATTATTGTTGATGTGAGTCAGAGGAGGCTAAAGATCCTTCGCTCTGCTTGCGATTCTGCACCAGTCCAAACTGTAAAGCAGCCACTTAATTAACTATATGTTGGGATGTTATAACCTGGTTTACAGATTATTTATAGACTGGTGCAAGTCTCTACATGCAAATTCTACTGCTCACCTATATGCTAGGAATGTAAATACAGCGGAGACACAGGGATGTATCTTCTGTGCTATCTCAAAATCTCTATGCCTGATTGTGAGTTTTAAACTACAGCCTAATGCAGAATGGTAAGGAAATGCTATACCTTAATTTAGCACTTAAAGTATCTATAAACTTACGCAATGCGGGCAAGTTTTAGGCTGACTGGATACTCCTGAAGCTGCATTTGTCTGGAAAGAAAAAGACACTGTTTTCTGACCATGCCACACAACTGCTATGCTCTGCCGTAGAGCATGGGGGCAGCATTAATTCTGTGAAACTTTCCCCCTCTTTCACAGGAGGGTTAAATGCCAGTGATTGGCATCACTAGGAGTTTACTTTGCCCCCTCCCCACTAAGAGGAGGGCTCTCCAGGCTTTCGGGGGTCTCATGTCAGGCCCCTTCTCTTTAAATTAATGTGTAAGCGAATCCTGCAGACACTCGAAGGCCTGAAGCAGCCCATGTGGAGGGGCAGGATAAGGACAGGGGGAGAGCCCCACAGCACTGACCTGCTGCCCATGTCGAGGGGCAGGATAAGGATGGGGCAGGGGGGAGAGCCCCACAGCACTGACCTGCTGCCCATGTCGAGGGGCAGGATAAGGATGGGGCAGGGGGGAGAGCCCCACAGCACTGACCTGCTGCCCATGTCGAGGGGCAGGATAAGGATGGGGCAGGGGGGAGAGCCCCACAGCACTGACCTGCTGCCCATGTCGAGGGGCAGGATAAGGATGGGGCAGGGGGGAGAGCCCCACAGCACTGACCTGCTGCCCATGTCGAGGGGCAGGATAAGGATGGGGCAGGGGGGAGAGCCCCACAGCACTGACCTGCTGCCCATGTCGAGGGGCAGGATAAGGATGGGGCAGGGGGGAGAGCCCCACAGCACTGACCTGCTGCCCATGTCGAGGGGCAGGATAAGGATGGGGCAGGGGGGAGAGCCCCACAGCACTGACCTGCGGCCCTGCTGCCTCCGGCCCCTCGTCCCCATCCGTCCGGCCGTGGTACCTGCAGATGTGCCTGATCTCGTGCTCCTTGCAGCGGCACGCCGGCACCGAGCTGTAGTAGTTCTGCACCGCAAAGGAAAAGGACAACGTTAGGTCGGGAAACATCCAGCCCTTCTCCTGGCAACTCCAGAGCCAGGAAAGGGGAACTGGGCAGATTTTTGCATTAACCACCTGGTTTGTTCTGACCAAGAGTAAAACATGCAACACACGGGGCCTCTGACACCTCAGGCTTTAGCCTGCAGAGATGCCGAAGCCAAAAGGCTGCAGAACGCGGGAACGCGGCCTGAAAGGGCTGTGCGCGCGGCCCGAAGAGCACGTCCCAAGAACTTGTCCCGGGGTTTGGGATTTGCCCCCAGGACGCTCTGCAGGTTCTGCTGCCGGTCTGTCTTTACCCTCGTCCTCCCCGAGCCTCCCGCCCGCCTCCTCCTGCGGCTCCTTCCCCGCTCCCGCGCGGGTGGCGGGAGCGACCCCGCACTCCCATGGATCCCAGCAGGACGCGGGGCGCCGCCGCGTCCCGGTTCCTCCCTCCGGAGGGGCTTTCAGGACGAGCAGTGGCCGCTGGCCGGGCGCTTACCCGGCACTGCCGCGCCGCCTCCCGCACGAGCCCCGCGGCGGCGGCGAAGGCCGCGCTCAGCCGCGCCGCCTCCTCCC